GGGCGCGGCGCCAGCGCGACGCCAGCGAACGTCGTGGACTTGGGCCTTCGAGTTGGACGCGCACCGCCGTCCTCCTATTTTTCCTGTTTGCCCTCCTCGCCCGCTCTCCCCCATCGCTTTTCCGCTCGCTCATCTCCCCCGCCCCCGCCCGACCCAGGCCCCTTCGCGCGCGCCCGCCGACGACGGGGGCGCGGCGCCGACTGCCGCCGCGCGCAGGCGCCGCCGCGCACGGCGCGCAACCATATTGACGCCACGCGCGCAGTAGAAACCACGTGCCACCGCGCGCGCGCCCCCTATTCATTCCCCAATCCCCCCCCCCCTCCTCCCCTTCCCTCCTCCTCGATCTGCCCCCCCCTCGCCCCCCCTCGATCCCCCGCCTTTTTTTTCGTTCTCCCCCCCCCCTTGCCCCCGTCCGACCCGGGCGCCGCCGCGCGCGCACTCGCGGGGCGCCCTCGCGCGCTGCGACGTCCCGGTCGGGCGCCCGCGCCCCCCTGTTGCAGCCGACTGGCCCCTGCTCCGACTAGCTCTCTGGGCGGACGTGGGCTGAAGCGCTTGCCCTTCCAGCCCCGCTCTTCGCTGCTGGGATAGCGTGGTCCTTCCCTCCGCCGCCCCGGGGGTCGGGGGTTGCGCTGGGCGTCTAAGATGGCCCAGGGTCGATTCAACAGGGCGCTAGATGCCCCAATATTGGTTCAGATGCGGATCTAAATTGAAACATCACTGACCCCTCTGCATTGGCCCAGTGACCTTGCCAGGCGCACAGATGATCCTTCCACTGGCACTCGTGCGCAAGCGAGAGCATTGCGAGACAGGTCCCGTCCGAAGTGTCGTGATCTCGATGTTCGAGCACGCGCGCTGGGGACATGCAAAGGCATGGTCGAAAAAAAAAACACGCCCCGGGGCGGGGATCAAAGGGGGGGAGACTTGAGCGAATGGATGCAGACAGTCGGGCCTCAGCGAGGGGGGAGCTATAACAACCAAAGATTAGAAACATCACTGGCCCCTCTACATTGGCCCAGTGACCTTGCCAGGCGCACAGATGATCCTTTTTCTCTGGTACTCGTGCACAGGCGAGAGCATTGCGAGAAAGGTTCCGTCCGAAGTGTCGCGATCTCGAATCTCGATGTTCAAGCGCGCGCTGAGGACATACAAAGGCTTTGTCGAACAAAACACGCCCATGCCATCATCGCCCACTGGAAGGCCTCATTTTGTATTATATATTTAACAAACTGAAAGTGAAAACAACTGAGAGACTGAGGTCCCCGCGGCAGCGGCTCGCCGGGCGAGCTCAACAAGAAAACGAGCGGCCTGAAGCAACAGTCGGCCGCTCTTCTCATATCGTTTCACGGACTGAGGATGTGCCGCCGGCCACGCTTCCGAACCGTAGCTAGGCTGCGTGAATTCACCGGGGCGTCATGGCTGGGAGCAGAGTGCTGGGCGACATGTGGTGTGAGGTGCCCGACTCTGTCCAAAAGGGTTCGGCCGTGCTTTCTGAAGAGGGCCTCGTACTTAGCGAGGGTCAGGTGAGGAAAAACGAGCTCATCAGCACATGCGTCAGGCGAACGGCGGCGGGCCCACATCTCCAGAACAGAGCCTACCCACTCACGGCCTGGCGGGTTGAGGACAATGGTGTCGTCGCTCTCGCCTGTCTTGGCGGTTTCGCCGAGGTCGGAGTTGCCGATGACGACCGCCCACCTCCCTCGAGACAGCGAAGAGGAACGGGAGGAAGGCCGCGCAACGGAGCACCACCAGAGCTCGCAAATCTCTGACGGCCTCAGGTAGGTGTCCAACTGGATGGCAAGGGCGACGGCGGCGTCCACGTGGCGGTCCTTCAGAAGGACAGTCATGAACAAGTAAAAGACGGACAGCGGCCAAGGATGTCGAGGCGAGCCTGGGAATCTGCGAGACCAACCCTTCGTTGCCTCTCGTGGTATAACAAGACGAACGGACTTGGATACGTCTGATCGAGGGTAGAACGTGAGGAGACCCCAGAGAACAGATCGGCCCTCCGCAGGGCGCCTCGCGTCCTTCATCAGGGTGTCAAAATACTTGCACATGCACTGATCGATGTTGGTCTCCGAAGCTGCCTCAAGTCCTCGGAGCATGTGGCCCAGTCGAAGAAGTCCCGTGCAGCGACTCCATATCGCTCAAGAGAGACAGCGGCGATGGAACGGAAGCGGGCCGCATCCCCATCCACGGCGGCAGGGGCTGGAGGTCCGAAGCTGAAGTCCTGGCTCTTGATGGCGTCCACGAAGCTAGAGACGCGGGGGCGGCGGCCAGCGACCCCTCGGGCCCCTTGAAGCGGGGCGCTTGCTTCCGGGCTGCCTCGAGGTTGGTGTCCTGGCCGAAGGCGATGTACGGCCGTAGGTGATCGCACCTGCTCTCGAGGGCGCCAGGGTCGGCAGCTGCGACGAGCCCGAGGTCAGGTTCCGCTTGAAGCCGCTGCCGAGCCGGTCGGAGGCGCCCGCTGGAACGCGAAGACGGCCGTCGAGTAGCATCGCGCAGCCGGCTCTCGAGGTCACCGTCGCCCTGAGCGCCAGGGCTGCCTCGGCGCCTGCGGGCGCTGACATGGCCGCGGCCCGTGCCCGCACAACTGGCGAGGATAAGCCCCCGCACCTGCGGTGCGATTGCGAGAGACACGAGCCCCAGATGGCAACGTAACCGTTTCGAAACCTCGGAGCTCCACGTGGGTGTGACCCTTCGAGCGCACCGAACCCAAGGACGACAGGGCGAAGAAATTCGTGAGGATAGAGGTTGGCTTCTTGCGCGGGGCCCCGTAACTACAGTGCACGAGGGGGACGCGCGTCGCGTCTGGGAGGCCACTGAGCTCTCTCACGGGGTCGAAGTCCCAGAGTCTTGAGGTCCTAGGGTTCTCGATACCCCAGAACATTATTTCTCGAACATTCATCAGCCACGCGGCAACTCAACAAAACTAAAGCAACACCAATACGTTCTTTACGTCTGGCTCTTTCATGATCAACAATATTGCGTCGAGCTCTGGGCCAAACGCAATGCGGGGTGCCCGTGTGCACGTGCCAGAACAGCCCCCGTCGCATGCCCTGCCGGACAATGTTCTGAACCATCGGGCCCAGGAGGTCGTAGTGAGCCCCGTCCTTCATGTCCATGCAGGGGAAGGTCCTCAGGTCGAGCTCCTTGAAGGCCTGCGAGAGCCCACCCTCCCCGGAGAACAGCTCCAGGAAGCCCTGGCCCTGCTTGGCCCGTCTGAGAAGCTGAACGTGCCCGAGACGAAGAGGGGGGCGGCGGCTCGAGTGATCACCGAAGGCGTCGACGTGCAGGATGATGGACAGGACGATCGATGAGGTGCGTCATCGCATTATTCGGAAGACTGCGCGTCCAAATTCTTGTCGCTCTCGGCGCCGGCGGGCGGACGCCCTGCGAGGCCGAGTCCAGGAGGCAAAGCGCCCGCATCCACAACGGTGCCCGCGGGAGAACGAGGGAAAGAAGATATTGAGGTGTCTTTCTGGTCCTGTTTGGAGTAACCTTTGTCGGGGGAGTGCTGCTCGAACCGACGGGATGGAGCGTCGGCCGCATTAAACTTTGCGTTGGCATGCCGCAGCCTCCAACGCACCCTGCACCTGATAGCGTAGGCCGCCTCGCGCCGGCACTGTGCGTTCGGGGCTGCTGAGCGACTGGGCCGCCTTTTGTCGAGGCAGCCGACGCATGCCATGGAGTCCACAAGAGAAACGAGGCGTCGACCACAGCGGTGTCGAACTCGGCAGGCGTGGCGCAACCCCATCGCGGCAGCCCGGGTCTTCTTCGCGTTGATGTGTTCCCCCGGCCACCGCCGCCGCATGGCCGCAACCAGCCTGAAGCCGTCGGGGTCAAACCAATGGGGCTGGCAGCGGCGGTGCCGGGGGCCCCGTCTGCAGGAGGGCGCTCTCGTCGCCGGGGCCCCGACCGCTGGGGCGGGGCCGGCGACGAGGGCGAGGGCGCCAGGGGCCGTCAGACGGCGAGCCCTCCTCCGCCCTGCTCTGAGGCCACTGGCCGAAGGCGGTGGGGGGGCCAGCCCCTGCGGAAGGCGAAGAGGCGCGGCAGCGGGGCTCGGCCTCGTCGTGCTCGAGGCACGCGTCCGCGTGGACGTGGCCCCCCATGTCGGCAACGTCTGCCGGAGAGACGAGGCCCACGCGGGGCCCCAGGAGGTGCCGCCTGAAGCTCCACTTCTCCTTCCAGCGGCAGGCGGAGCGCAGCTCGCTCTCGGAGGCCCTCTTGTGCATGAGCCCGTGCCCGTGGTCGGCGGAGTCGCTGGCGCACACGTGAGGCGCATAGGGCGCGGCCAAGTCGACCTCTGTCAGCCAGACGAGCCCGACCACGATGCGCATCTCCTGCACGACCTCCCGCGGCAGGGCGGCCCCACGCCCCGCGCGGTCTCGGCAAACTGGCAGGTGGCCGAAAGCGCCGCGTAGCCGGGCCTGGCCAGCATAAGCAGCGAGACCGCGTGGCCGAGCCAGACCTCCATGAGCTCACCACGCATCCTTCCCCGTGCCAGTAGAGCCCGAATGGCCAGGTCGAAGAGCCAGACTCGGGAGGCTTTCTTCCGAAGGCGCCCCCTCTTGAGGTCGATCTCGACCTCGACCGTCTGGAAGTGGGTGACCGCGTCCGGGCAACTCCTAGCGACAGGAAGGCCGCAGGGCTGAGCCTCGGCACGCAGGGCGGAAGCAGTCTCACGAGCCAGAGGCGCATCGCGGCCCAGGACAATAATGTTGTCAACGTAGACGCTGCCCATCACCTTGGACTCGCAGAGGTCGGGGGCCAGATGGTGCTCCCTCACCGTGGCCGGCTCCGCGGTCGGGCGGGGCCGAAGGGCCCGAGCCGTCGTTGCTGAGACGGCCTCCTGCGCGAAATGCAAGGCCAAAGACCACCCCATACACATAGCACGCGTACACGGGTAGAGCACCATGTCGTCCTCCGCCGAGACCATCCTGTTCAGGTCCGGGTCCCAGAAGGCGCGATGTTGATGCCATATGTCCCTGATCGTCACAACCGGCAGCGGGTCGTCGAAACCGAACCATTCAGCCAGGCCGTCGATCGCAAAGTTGTAGAAGCAGTCCTCTACGTCGGCCTCGTTCCCGTGGGGGTCCCAGCCGACGATGCTGCCGACGCCGTCGAACGAGCCGTCCCCGATGGAGAAATCGCGGTCGGCGAGGGCGCCAGCCGACCCAAGCCTGGAGGTCGGCGGCGCACGGTGACAGGAGTTCGCCTGCCTCGCATGAACCATCATTATGATATCGTTTTTTTTTTTTTTTTTTTTTTTTTTTTTTTTTTTTTTTTTTTTTTTTTTTTTTTTTTTTTTTTTTTTTTTTTTTTTTTTTATAGTATATATATATATATATATGTATGCCCGAGCACGTACAACACTCTGAACAAACACCAACGCACCCGCCGACTCGAACGAAGTATTGGATCCCAATAAAGTCTGATGGGATCGATCGACTGACGCATGACCTCCATCTCCCCCTCATCCTCCTCGATGCACTGCGCTGGGTTGCGGACCATCTCCGCGGCTAGCGGTGGCGGGAAGTTGGCCGCGGAGCGCGGTCGCGCACGTCCCTTCGCGACCTTGAGCTTTGTCAGGTCGATCGGCGCGAGGTTCTTCGGCTCCTGGGAATTCAAGCCCTTGGACGCCAGCAGCTCGCGCGCGGCCCCCTCGGCCGTCAAGCCAGGATGGGGGGGGGCCCCGCGGCGTCGACGCGCTCCGCAGCGCTGTCCAAGATCCAGTCCTGGACAGCGGTCGGGGCTCGAGCAGGCCAGCTAGCCTGATCGTGCGTATCTGAATTCGGTCGAGCAGCAGCGAGATGGTTGAGCGAAGCCCGTGCCGAGACTGCCCGCTGTCGCTGCTCGTGGCGGGCGCCCAGCTTCGCAAGCTGAGGCGCAGGGAAATTCGGCAGTGGGAAGGGATCTCCGCGCCGCCGTCTTGAGGGCCTCCAACGAATAGGCCGTCCCCGATCTTCTGGAGCAGCGCCGGACTGAGCTCGGGGACCCAACTCGTCCCGGAAAGCCTCGGTCACCCCGAGGCCTCTTCCCCGCCCGCGCTCCTGTCGCCCTTGCCTCGGGCACGGTTGCCCTTGCGGCCACTGCCCTCGTCGGTGTCCGACGAGCCGCGGGCAGTCTGCAGGGCGCGCTGCTCCTCGTCCCACAACCGAGTCTGCTTGTAGATGGCGGCCTGCTCCTTGAGGCGACCGGTCACCCACTCTGTGAACTTGCTCGTGCTGGCCTGGCCCTGCTCGGTCGTCGGGGCGCGCAAGGCGATCTCCAGACCTCCGTAGTCCGGATGCCGAGGGTTACGGGCCACTGCAGTCTCATCTTGGTAAATCTTTCGCATGATTAGCTCGAAGCTCGACAAGTTCGCGACGTTGAGCTGGTCGGTCTGGGTCGCCAGCCGGACCGCCTCGCACAGCACGTAGTGGATGTGCGCCGCCGAAATAATCAGTCAGCGCTGAAGCGGTCGAAAGAGGCGCGCGATCCAGGGGGCGCGACATGAATAATTCCCAGCCGAGGAAAACGGAACAAGTCGTCGACGACAGAACCGCGCGTCACCAATCGGAGCTGCACAAAGTTTGACAACAAATACTTCCAGACGCACCTCTGACCAAAGCTTGCTGGGCTGCCGGACATGCATGCTGTCCATGGAATAGAGGCCGGCCAAATAGGGCCCGAGTAGATGGGGTCGGGGGATCGCGCCGCATCGCCGATGCATCGGTGATAAATCGGCGACGGCCGCAATGCACTTGCCGACGCCAGCGCGGAGAAAATCGAGCTCCGCGTCGAGCTGCGTCGGCGATGCATCGGCGATGCGGCGCGATCCTCCGACCCCATGTACTCGGGCCCCATCTGCGAGGCCTGGTCCAACGCACCTCTGACCAAAGCTTGCTGGATTGCTGGTAATGCCATGGCATGGTGGAGCGCCCGTCCGTGGGAGGGAGCGTGGCGAGAAAATGCGAGACTGTCCGGCCTGCCTGCCGCGGCCGGATCGCCCGCGGGGGATCGCCGAGGGCGCCGCGCAGACCATGCACACGTGCTGCAGCGGATTGTCGCGTGGATGTCTGTCAATGCAAATCCCCGCATCGGCGGAAGGACACTTGCGTGAATTTTACGCCGACGTCTTGTAATGACCATTCCTGGCAACAAGAGGAACACACGAAATCGATTCCGAACTCCGGGGCGAAATCCTCCGGGGCAGTCCGGGCCCATCCCAATGTTTTCCAAGCGAACTCCGCTGTGCGATGTTGTCGCCATGACAAAAATGATGCAGCAAGCAGACGACCACCTGGCAATGGTCGATGAGGTGCGCGGCAGAATCTGGCGGGGGCCCGCGCTCGATCGCGCGCCGCGCTAAGCTTTCTCTGACCGCTGGATCGCCGACGGCCGATTCGCCGCAGTGAACGCGAATGTCGCAGGAAATATGACGTGTGTTCGCTTGCGCCAGGGGAAACCGAATGCACGCCTAAACAAGCTTATGCTACAACATGTGGGCCGTTGCACGCGCGGAACTTCTCGGGGGCGCCAACCAGATAATCCAAGTAGCGTGCGTTGTCGATGTGGCGGCCGGAATGCGCAGCCGAGGCGCTGGCCTGCTCGGCTGGGGAGAACCGCGCAGGGCCCTGAGAGGTAGCGGGGGGCGCCGTGGCGGGGGTCGGAGGCTGCGCTCCAGCAGCGCGTCGTGGAACTGGTTCCCGGGGGGCTTCAACAAATTCAGCGCGTCGTCTCCCGGCCGCCCCCGAGACCCTGGGCCCCGCGCGCCCACTGACATCCAGCTTATGATGCTCGGGGATGGCGGCGTCGAGAAGTTGTCGGAGCTGGGGGAAACCGCGCCGCCCGCCGAGGGCGGCGCCTTACCCGGCGGCGCCGCGATCATCGTGTGCATACGAGAGCCCGCCCCGCGGCAATCGCGCTTCCAAAGTGCCGGTCAGGCCAGCCCCGTGCGAGCGAACTGCTGGCCCAATGAGGCCGTCTTTACTCCAGGGGGAAAGGCGCGCGGTCTTGCTGAGCCCGCGGGCGCGGGGATTGGAAGCGAGCGCGTCGGCCGCGGCGGTTGCCGGGGCCCTGGGGGTGGAAATCTGCCCGCGCGCCTTTGGGCGTCGCTCGACCGCCGCGGGGCTTCGCGAGGGCGGCCCGCTGAGAAAGGCGAACGCAGGGGGGGGCCTGGGCTCTGGGCGCGCCGCCCCTCGAGCCCGCCGGAACATGTCGCGGCGGGCGTGCGAGGCGCCGCCCGGCCGCGCCTCCGCAAGCGCGTCGACATGGGCTTCCGCTTCCCTCTATTCTGAATGCGGTGGGCCGAAATCGCGCAATCCCCCCGGAGCGAGCGCGTTCGTCGCGTCGGCCAGCTCAAGCCATGGATGCGCCGCGTAACCTCCGGCGCGCGCGGCTCTGCATGCCCTCGGTCGGGCTCGAACAAAACAGAATGCCCCATGCGGGGGCCGTCTCTGGGGCAGGAGGGGCCCCCCAGTCGCCTCTCCGTCCGCGGGAGAGAGGACCTCTAGATAACGCCGCTGGTCTCAGGTATCCAGGACGCTCTTCTAGACGAGCCATGCAAAGGCCTTGTGGGCCGCGAAGACCCGGGGAGGGAACGGGCTGATCTCTGGGGCAACTTCCGCGGATTCGAAGGCCTGCGCGCAGTGGGCCGATGAGCGCATAATTGGAGCTTATATATTCGGAAATAACAGCCGCGGGACGACTAGTGCGCCCCTCGGGGGCATGGAGAGGCTTGCCATGCTGAGAACTGAGAAGGATAATATTCGGGCAAGAACCCACCATGGCCGCCCACGAATCCGCGCAGCCTGGGCCCCTCGCCAATGTCGGAGGCAGGGCGGAGTCCTGGCAGAGCCTGGGCGGTGGAAGAATGAAGGGGCTGGTCGATGTCAAACAAATTGCTATCCGAGTCAGGACTCCGTTTTTGTCTTTCATCGCCGCGTCCTCACGGGTGTTCGGGAGAAGGATGCAGCGGCGCCAGCTGCTGAGGCAGGGGCCCAAGGGTTTGCCGTGAATGGGGTCCGAGTGAGGCGTGTCCTGGTCGCAGCGAAAATCCTGCTGCCGCTGTGCAACGCATGCTCTTTCCATTCGATCTGGACTCGCTGCGCTGCCTCCTTCGGGTCCTGAAGGAATCCGCCGACTCAGCTGAGGCCTGGGTGCGTAGCCTCGCCCGGGTCAACTGGACGTCCTCCACGCGCTGCTGTTGGCGTTGGACCGAGCTGCTGATCGGAGTGCCGCCAGCTCCGCTTGACCGATGGGAGGTAGACCATCTTCGTCTTAGACAAGGACCCCATGTGCTGCCTGCTGCTAGGCGGGTAGCCGTACCTGAAGCAACTCGGAAAGTGGCTCTTGGCATGGGTACTGGCGCTGCATCTGTTGGATCTGCTTGCTGAGGCGCCGTGGCCGCCGTGAGATGGGCCGTCGCAGCGCATAACAGAGCGGATAGCTGGGCAACCTGCGATGTCAAGTTGTCGAGGTCCGTCTGAAGGTCGGTGATCTCCAGAGGTCAGAGCGAAGTTGCCAATAATGCTGAAGCCGACGTAGGTGTAGCCGGGGGCCCTGGCCCTGGGATGGGGAGACTGCAAAGGAGGGGCTGGCGCTGGTGGTGCAACCTGCTCGCCGTGGGATAGGAGCGTCGGCTGCACCATGTTCTGGCTGCCCTGCTGACTCTCTTTGGAGAGAAGGGCGAGTACATCCTTCCGTGGTGGCTGCAGAGGCCGCCGCAGGCTCCGCCGCCGCCTGCGCTGCTGCCGCTGCGTTACGGTCCTCCTCTTGCTGCTGCATCAGCCTGAATCGGCGGCGGAGAAACCTCCATGGTGCAAAACTTACCTTAATGAAAACGGCCTGCGACCGAAACCGACGGACCTGGACTCGCAAGAATGACGGCCGCGACGCCCTCTCGTGAACGTAAAACGGCCAATTCCTTAATCGACGTGTCAGGGTAGGAGGTCTATCCGCCTCCGACTGAAGGTGTCGAGAAGCTTCGTGACGATCTTGAAGTCCCTCTGCGTGCTTGTGCGAGCTTGTGAAGCAGCCTAGAGCTCTGTCCGTGCCAGAGTCTCTGCTGCTTCTGCGTCGGTGCCCCTTATTTCCTGGCACGACCCACGTAGTTTTAGGTCGGGCCTGTCCCCCTACATGGGGATTTTGAACGAAAAATAACAATACACAATAAAGACTCAAGGTGAACCCCCAACTACTCAAACCATAGTACCCGTGTTTTTTTGTGACAGCTTTTGAACGTTCCCCCTGTAGAAGGACAGGCCCGACTTACACGTAGCTCTGCTGGTTGCCAAGTCTCTTTTTCGACGGGTAGGCGCTCACAAACACGAGTAGGGCAACAGAGTGTCCGTCCTCGAGTTCGGCAATTCGGTTGTTGTTTGCCGCCCGGATGCGGGTGGACGTGACCTTGGACACGAGGGCAATGATATTGGCGCGGGGATGACACCGACATTCAACCAACTTCTTCGGATCCGTTGGAAACTCGACCCATGCCTCGTGTGACGTGGCTTGCGACGGGGACGCAGATGGAATGCCCAGCGGGGGCCCAGGCTGCGTGTGGTCTTGTGAGCTGTCCCAGTCGTAGTCCCAGATTGGTGTTGTTGCTGTTGCTGTTGCTGCTTATGGTGCTGGTGTCGATATCCTGGGCCATGCGGATCCTGAGGAGTTGCGCGGCGGCGACGTCCTTCCGAATGCCGAAGGCGATCTCGTTGCCGACGAGCACCTGGCATCTGAATGGGGGAAATACCAGACACACCATGTGTGCGTCTGCCAGTTGACTGCGCCACACGTTGACAATGCCACTGCCCAGTAGAAGACTGTTGAGATGAGGAGCCTGGACTGGAGTTGCCCCCCCCCCCCCCCCTGCTGCCCACAGTGGAGCTGTTCGGTCTGCCCTGTCGATGTCGAAACATGACGTGTGATGGTCTAAGAAAAGTCTACGGGCGGAGGCCACCCGCACCAAGGTTCTCGCCGTAGCATGTCGTGATCGAAGACGCCGACGCCACGCTGGCGAGCGTTCCGTTACTCGTCGCGCTGTGGACGTCGTGGCGGACTCGCTCGCGCGGGACGCGGATATGGCGGCCGTGCGTCGCGATAGGCATAACCTTCGGGCGGGCTCGCGCACCCTGGGACCGCAACCGATGCCCCCCTTGACCGGCACATGCCTGGAGGGAGATCGAGGGAGAGGGAGGAGGATCGAGGGGGAGGAGAAGGAGGAAGTGGATGATCGAGGAAGCGGTGGAGGATGACGAGGAAGCGGGGGGGAAGAGGAGGAGAAGGAGGGAGGAACGAGGAGGATCGAGGAGGGAGGAGGATCGAGGGGGAGGATGAGGAGGCGGATGCGGTTGCGGATGCGGATGAGGATGAGGAGCAGGACGGTGATGATGCTGATGACGATGACGATGATGCTGATGCTGATGCTGATGCTGATGCTGATGCTGATGATGATGATGATGATGATGATGATGATGATGATGATGATGATGATGATACTGATGATGATGATGATGATGATGATGATGATGTGATGATGGATGATGTATGATGATGCATGTGACGAGATGCGGATACTGATGATGATGATGCTGCTGTGTGATGATGGATGAGGATGCCCTGGATGCTGATGATCGTAGATGGCGTCATGACGAGGAGCGAGGAGGGAGAAGGAGGAGAAGGCAACGGAGGGGAGGAGGGGGAGGAGGAGGAGGAGGAAGGAGGAGGGATGGAGTAAGGATGAGGAATGAGGAGGAGCAGGAGGCGGCGGAGGGAGGAGGCGACGCCTCGCGGCAGGCGCACCGCGGCCGGCCAGGACCGGGGCACGCGGGGCGGGGGCCCTGGCGGGAGCGGCCGCCGGGGCGCAGGAGAGATTGCCCTGCCCCGGCACGTGGAGCGCCCTGGTGCTCGATATCTCCTCGAGGGCGGGCGCTCAGGAGGGGCCCTCCCTGACGTCGCCCTTTGGCCAGTCCCCTCCTCGCTCCTCCTCCTCCTCCTCCTCCTCCTCCTTACCTCCGCCTCCTCGCCTCCTCCTCCTCATCCTCCTCGTCCTCCTCCCTCCTCCCTCCTCATCCTACTCTCCTCTCCTCCTCCCTCCTCATACCGCCACCTCCTTCAGACTCCTCCTCAGGACTACTGCTCATCCGCCTCCATCCTCCCCCTCCTCCTCACTGCTCCTCTCCTCCTTCCTCCTCCTGCCTCCTCCGCTTCCTCCTACTCCTACTCCTCATCCTAATACTCCCCCTCCGCTTCCTCTGGGTCCTCTGCCTCCCGCCTTCCCTCCTCCTCCTCCGCTCCTCTCCTCCTCCTTCCTCCCCCTACCTTCTTCTCTCATCCTGCCCTCCTTCTTTCTCCTTCCTCCTCCTTCTTCTTCTCTCCCCTCTCTTCTTCTCATTCTCTTCTCCTCTCCCGCCGTTCCTTCCTCCTACCTCCTCTACTCCTCCTACTCATTTACTCCTCCTCCTCCTCCTCCTCGTCCTGTCATCGTCTTCCTTACTCCTCCTCGTCGTGTCTCACCCCTCCTCCTCCTCCTCCTCCTCCTCGTCCTCCTCCTCCTGCCCTCCTCCTCCTCCTCCTCCTCCTCTTCTCCTCTTCTCCTCTTCTCCTCTTCTCCTCCTCCCCTCCCGATCACAGCCCCCAGGGCGATCCCAGGGAGGGACTAGCCCAGGGGCAACGTCAAGGGGGAATCGGCTCAGGGGGTGTAGGAAGGCATCAAGACTCGAGCTGCGAGGCTTTCGGAGGCTCTCGTGGGCTCTCGGCCTTTCGCCTCGGGAGAGAGTGCCATGTCCAGATGCGTGGAGCTCGGCTCTCTCAGACGAAGCCAAGACGAGGATAATATCGGGCGAGAATCTATCGATGATCCCTGAGATCCAGCGGTTCTGTAACATGCCGCGGGCGCCGCGGCCTTCTCAGAGCGTTCTGGAATGCTCTCAGAGCGTTCCCGAACGCTCTGGACCAGACTTCTCCTCGTCCTACCCTTCGGTCGGGCATGTACTCCTACACGGGGATTTTGGACGAAACTACGAAATGCTCAAGCGAATACTCTAACATAGTTGAGAGTTGATAGGGATTTCGTCCCCCACGATGTTTAGACTATTTTTGAAGTTCCCTCCTGCAGACGGACACGCCCGCCATGATCCCAGCCCCGTCCAATTCTCGGCGGCCTTCCAGCCTCGAGACACGCTCCCCGGCAGCTGAGCCTCGCCGAGAGCCTCCGGGGGGGTCCGGATCGCCCCGAACTGCGGCGCGGACCCAGGTGTGAGGAAGAGGAGGAGGAGGAGGAGGAGGAGGAGGAGGAGGAGGAGGAGGAGGAGGAGGAGGAGGAGGAGGAGGAGGAGGAGGAGGAGGAGGAGGAGGAGGAGGAGGAGGAGGGGGAGGAGGAGGAGGAGGAGGAGGAGGAGGAGGAGGAGGAGGAGGAGGAGGAGGAGGAGGAGGGGAGGAGGAGGAGCAGGAGGAGGAGGAGGTCGAGGAGGGCACGAAGAGCGGACGACCACCACGAGGAGAGGCCTCGGCCCCCCAAACGTCGCGCTCTCGTCGCCGAGGGGAGGGCGACACGGCCGGCGCTGGCAAGACGCAGCGCCCCGCAGTTGCGGATGAGAGTGAGGGGGCGGGCGCGGGGGAGGTCGCGGGCGGGTCGCGGGCGAGTCGCGGGTGGGTCGCGGGGTGGGTCGCGGGGTGGCTCGCGGGTAGGTGGCGGGTGGGTCGCGCGTGGGTCACGGGTTGGTCGCGGGTGGATCGCAGGGTGGTCGCCGGTGGGTCGCGGGCGGGTCGCGCGGTGGGTCGCGGGTGGGTCGCGGGCGGGTCGTGGGCGGGTGGGCCACGTCGATCTCCGAAAAGCACGCTATCCCTCGAACTCCCCCGCGATGGCCCCTGCTGTGCACGCCGGTCCCCTGCCAAGGCTTCCTCGGTGCACGCTAGCCCCACGGCGGGGGGCAGACAGGCAGACAGGCACCCAGCGACGGGCAGCGACCGGCACTGCGCGGGGCACGGGTGGATGGCACCGCAGTGCCTCCGATTGACTCGTTCATGAGAATTCTACACGTCGCTCATTTCTAATCGTGCTCATTTCCAATGGTGCTCGTTTCTAATTGTTCCTGGCCCCCTAGTGGCCAGGAAGAGGCCCAGGATAGAACAATTAGAAATGAAAGGATCTTGGCCCCCCAGAAAACCAAAGAACTCTCGAAGAAGTAGCAGTGAACAATGTGCACACGCAGGAACTCCCCTCGAGGCTTCTCCACAGCTCCGTGGTGCGAGCATAAGCAGTAGAAAGCGGGCGGGGGGCACCACATCGCACGCAATCTTTGCAACGCCAAGCGTCAGGCGGGGGGGGGGGAACTGCCCGCACCTCCTCTCGTCGTGGGGGCCCTCACTGGGCCCCAGAACGTCAAAGAAAAACCCGGGATGAAACTCCCCAAGAGGCCCCAAGGAGGCCCCAAGAGGCCCCAAGAGGCCCCCAAGAAAGTCCAGAAGGCCCCCTGGAGGCCCCACGATGCCCCCAAGAGGCTTAAAAATAGCCCGAAGAGCCCCAAGAGGCCCCAAGAGACCACGAACGCGCAGGCAAACGCCTGCGATGGCACAATACGGGCCGGCGGAATGAGCGAAGCGATGAAGTAACAACCCGAGATGGAAGGCCGGCCCCAGGAAACGGGGCTGGACCTCCGGGGGGTCCACACTCGAGATCTCCTGGCCCCAATCTCCGACGATCTGGTGTCGTCAATCTGGGCACGCCTGTCCTCGGTTTCGGCCTCTGGGACCCGTTGTCGGGCCCTGGGGCCATCAAGCATGGATCTGGGGCGACAAGCTACCGCCAGGGAAGGGGTCGGGACCTCTGGGGGGCACATTGGACGAGTCGACGAATCACATCGTCGGAGGCTCGGGTCGGTGGCGGGCCCAGGGGGGAAGTGAGAAGGAAAAGGCCATCCCAGAAGGCTCGGAAGGCCCCCCGGCCTTCTGAGATGTGTTCTGCGCCTTCCCCGGAGACACAGAGAATCTCTCAGAAGGCCTCCTGAGAAGCCCCGCCGCCTCCTGAGAAGGCCTTCTCCTTCTCGCTTCCCACCTCGCTCGCCGCCGACTGGGAGGGAGGCGGGACTCGCTGAGGGTGGGAAGCATCGCCCTGGATTCGGCGCTGCCTCGCCGACAGATCGGCGCTGGGCCCCGGCTCGCGAGACCGCTCCCTCCTCCTCGGAGGAAGGAACGATCGTAGAAAGAGGCTCCCTCCAGCTCCTCCTCTTCCTCCTCCTCCTCCTCCTCCTCCTCTTCCTCCTCCTACTCCTCCTCCTCCCTCCTCCTCCTGCCCCTCTTCTCTTCCTCCTCCTCCTCCTTCTCCTCCTTCTCCTCCTCCTCCTCGTCCTCCTCGTCCTCCTCCTCCTCCGCCTCCTTCCTCCTTCTCCTCCTCCTCCTCCTCCTCCTCCTTCTTCTTCTCCTTCTCCTTCTCCTTCTCCCTCTCCCTCTCCCTCTCCCTCTCCCTCTCCCTCTCCTCCCTCCCTCTCACTTCCCTCTCCCTCTCCATTCCTCCCTCCTCTCATATCCATCCTCTCATCCTCCTCACTCCGCATCCTCCTCTCCTCTTCCTCCCCTCCTCCTCCTACTCCTCCTCCTCCTCCTTCCTCCTCATCCTCCTCCCCCTCCTCCTCCTACCTCCTCTCCTCCTCCTCCCATCCTCCTCCTCTCTCCTCCCTCTCCTCCTCCTCCTCCCTCCTCCTCCTCCTCCTACCTCTCCGTCCTCCTCCTCCTCCTCCTTCCTCCTCCCTCCTCCTCCTCCTTCCTCCTCTATCCCCTCCGCATACCTCAGCTCCTCCTCCTCCTCTGGCAGGCGTTTCGGGACGATCCGGCATCGCCAGAAACGCTCTCCCGCGAGGCTCGACTGCCAGAGCATTTCCCGCGGCGGAGCTTCGCGAAGAGGACGCAAGCGTCGCCTCTCCTCTTCCTCCTCCTCCTCCTTTCATTGTGGTCCTCCTCATGTCCTCTCCTCCTCCGGTCTCATCCTCTCTCCTTCCCTCCTCCTCCTCCTCCTCCTCCTCCTCCTCCTCCTCCTCCTCCTCCCCCCTCGAAGCCCAAGCCTCGACATCTTCTCCCCACCCTGAGCCCGTTCCCCCCCTGACGTTTGAAGGGGAACTGGAACACACACATAAATACACACAAACAAAAATATCCCCCACATTTTCCCATATTTTCTGGGTTTCTGTCTTCCCCCACACTTCCCATATTTTCCAACATTTTCTGGGAATCGCCGATTAATTGTGTCTGTGTGTTTTCCCCTCCTGAACGTTGCTCTTGAGCCAACAGCCCACGCATGGCGTTGCCCCCCCCGGGCTCCCACTCCCACCGGAAGCCGTCGTCCCCCGCCGAGCTGAAGCACTCCCGCCTGGGCGCGCTGCCAGCGCCTGGGAAGGACAGGGGCGTACGGGAGGCTGCGCAGAAGCAGGACCTCTCTCGGGTCGGGCGAAAGGGGGGGATAGCAAAGCGGGGGTTTGAGAATCAGCTCACTTACCGGATTTTCCCGGCGCCTCCCGGCGCCCATGTATCGAGGAATGGGCCCTTCGGCGGGGCCGAAACCAGCTGCATGCAGCAAATATCGTACCCCCTCCTTTCCCAATCCCCCCCTTTCGTCCGGCCCGACTCCCGGGGCCCGCGCGGGTTCCTGGACCTCGGGCGAGACGTGGCTTTTCACTGGGCCCGTGGGGCCCGTTTTCGGCCCCCCGGGTCACAGACGAGCGACGATCAGAAACGGGTTTTGCGCGAGATGGCATAGCGACCTTGCGCGGCCGCTCACGCGGGCCGCCAGCGCGGCGCGCTACGCTTGGAGCGAGGGTGCTTACGCGCGAGCTGACGCGGGCAGCCTGCGCGCCGATGTCGGTGCAGACGACCCCGTTTCTTTACTTCGCTCAAAATTCGGGAGCGGCCAAGAGGGGGGTGTCCAAGAGGGGGGGGGGTGCAAATCATGACCCGCGGCATGCGCGCGGCCCAGCGGGGGGGCCAGGGACGTAAAGAAATAAGAAGGGGCGCCATGAAATGTAGGGAAATATCATGGCCCACGCCATGATATTCACCCCCCCCTAGTCATCACCCCCCTCTTTTCCGCCTCCGCAAAATGGGTCTGGGACGACGAACTGGCCCACCCGGGAAGGTCGGCTTCACGCAAGAGGGGCCTCGGGTGAGAGTGACCTTTGGTGCGCGGCCTTCGGGGGGGCCGCGGGGGCGCCAAACACGAGCGCGCAAGACGCCACTGCCGCCTCGCATGCGGCTCTCGGGGGACCCCACGCGGCCCGCACAACGAAGCTTCTGTGCGCCCAGAAGGGGTGCGGAAAAATGGGTACAATGCCCCACAAAAGACGCTACCCTGGAAAACCCGAGGGTTGGGGGAGAGCGCGGGGAGCGCTGCGCGTTGGGTAGGCACGCGCCCGCGGGGGGGGGCGAGCGGCGCACTCGTCGCTCGCCGCTCCCCGCGGGAGCGCGCGGGTGCAGCGACACCCCGCGCCCCACCCCAACCAAAGGAGCGGCGAAGGGTGAGGGGAAACAAAAGCCGCCACGGCGGCCCGCGACGCGCGCACCGAGGGCGCCAGCCTCGCGTTCGGCCGACAAGCGCCCTCGGGGCAGCGCGCGCGACGCGGGGGTATATTTACCCTCCCCCCACCGCAGGGAGACGTGGACAAAGAACACGAACAAGACGAGGAACACGAAGTCCATGAAGACCTGAGGCGAGCCACCCCAAACGCACCCCCCAACCGACCCAACCCGCCCCACCACAGGCACCGCGGCGAACCGCGGCGCCAGCGGCGGGGCGGCAGGGGTAGAAGGTTCCCAGGTCCGCGTTTTTGTGACAACGAACAAAACTGCGTTGTGTTCTCGCCCACAAAAGACGCTACCCTGGAAAACCCGAGGGTTGGGGGAGAGCGCGGGGAGCGCTGCGCGTTGGGTAGGCACGCGCCCGCGGGGGGGGGCGAGCGGCGCACTCGTCGCTCGCCGCTCCCCGCGGGAGCGCGCGGGTGCAGCGACACCCAAGGCCCTTGCTGCACCTGCGCGCGAGGAAAACCCAACGCTGTTCTCGCCGAAGGTGTTCTATAGGCTCACAGCCACCTCAGTCCTTGTCTTCGTCGCTGGACGAAGCGCCGCCGTGCGCTTCCCTGACGGCGCTGTCCTCAAGCGCATCCCTGTCTAAATATGACAGGAAGGCGGCGGACCGCCAATCTCCGGCGCGAAGGATGTCGGCCAGCCGCGAGCCACGCACCGCCATGTCTTGGGCGTGGCCCCGACGAAAATCGTGGGTGCGATAGGCATCGTGCCGCGGCACCCCGAGCTCTTGCAGGGCCGCTCTCAACGCCGATAGGACAGCGTCCGGGCGGAAACCCGCAAAAGGCTGCTGGGCCGCGCTGTCGGCGCAGAATTTCCCCAGCGCGTGCACGGGGCACGTTGATGGACAGCGCGCGCACCAGCACGTGCGCGTCATCGTGAGCGGCGTGGCGCGATTCTTGCGCCAAAGCAACGTCAGCGAGATCGAGCCGTCATGCAGGCGTAGGCAGCTCTTCGGCTCGACCGCCCGCGGCGGATCGCCGTCCCGAGCGACGTGCATCGGCAGTGCTTCCGACGGCAATCGCAACAGGAATATGTACGCCGTCAAGAAAAGCATCTGCAGCTCGCGCCCCGATTGGTGGCGTTCGAGATGCTTCAGTAATCTGGTGAGGAGCGCCTCCCGAATAAACATCTTGGGCCTGGCCTGCCAAGTGTTTCGCGCTTGCACCGCGCGAGCCGCGCGCTCGACTGCCGGGTCGCTCAGCGCGTCCAGCGGGACGCGCAACAGGATGCAGACTAATCTGACGTGCGAAATATAGTTGTCGAATGTTCCTTTACAACGGAAGCATGTGCTCCACAATGCAAGGCCCTCGGGCGACGGCGGAATCACTTCCCCCGCGTCGCAGCCGAGCACGGTCATGGCGAAAGTCGCCCAGCAGCGGAAGGCGCTGACTACGCTGGGCCACGTTTTCGGGCAGCTGCCCAGAATCGCGGCGACCCGAGCCGAATCCCACCAGCCCTCTGGGCGTAGGTGGTCTAGAGCAGATCCTCTTCCACCCCTCCCTCTTCCCCCTTGGGGAGGGGTTTACCCCTCCCCCTACCCCCTCCCCTGGACCTGGACGGGGGGGGCCGCGGGTAGTTAGAGCGTCCCAGATGGCCCAAGACGGCTCCAAGAGCGCCTCAGAGAACCCAAGATGAGCTCCAAGATGGCTCAAGATAGCGCAAGATCGCTCGAGATGGCTCCTAAGATGGTTCCAAGAAGCCCAAAGACGGCCCCAAGATAACTCCAAGTGGCCAAACAGCTCCCCAAGGAGGCCCCGAAGAGGCCAAAATCGTCCCAAAACCTAAGGAAAATCAATGATTTTTGCTTTCTCGCCTTTTCGCTTCCGATGGCCATCCGAGGCCTGGAGATGGCTCCAAGATGGCCCAAGAGGGCCCCAAGAGAGCCCCAAAAGAGCCCCAAGACGGCCCCAAGAGCGCCCAAGAGCACTCCAAGAGCGTTCCAAGAGGGGTCCAAGAGGCGATTTTAGGGGCTTCCGAGGGGGGACGCTAATTAAACCCCCCCTCTTGTTTGATCGATCTCCTCCAAGATGGCCCCAAGAAGCGCCCAGGAAGCCCCAAGAGGTCCCAAGATGGCCCCAAAATGGCCCCAAGAGGCCCCCAAGAGGCCCCCCGGAGGCCCCCAAGAGACCCCCAAGAGGCCCCAAGAGCCCCCCCAGATGCACCCAAGATGCTCCAAGAGGCCTCGGCGAGAATGCCTAATCATTGATTCTACACAGGTTTTAGCCACATGGAGGCCTCTTGGGGGGGGGCACGGATTAAGATGACTCCAAGAGCGTCTGGGAGAGCCCAAAATGACCTCCAAGATGGCTCAAGATATCCCAAGATGTCTCATAATGGCTTCCTCTGTGTGCTGCCCACTTCTCTGATCGAGGCAATTCCTCTGGGCATCGTTTCTGGATGGGCTGGTGGGGATTCGCGAAGCGACAACAATTCGACCATTCGCTGAAGCTTCGCTGGGCGAGGCCCTGCCGCAGGGCCTCGACTTCACGGCGGGGGCCCGCGCGCGGCTCGATGGTGCACTGGCGCGCTATGCTGACGGCCAGCTCAAGGTCCCGCACAGCACCGCAAGCCGCCGAAAGCTCATCGCACTTGGCAGCTCGCCGCCTGGCAGGGCGACTGCGGCTGCGGCACTCGCGCTGATGCACGTCGGGTGCAGGCGGAGGTTCGTCCTTTGCGCCGCGCACGACGGCAGATGGCTTCTTCGCTTCGTTAATTAACTCTGACAGCGCTACGCGCAGGGCGTCAGGGCTGACGCCTCGTTCCCCTTCTGCGGCAGACACCGGTTCGAACCAATCGACGCGCGCTAGCTGCAGATCTCTGAGATGCGTTATGTCCTGGCGCCGCAGCAACTCGATCAACGCAAAGGTAACCATGGGTGAAAGCTCTGGCAGGACGCCGCGGACCTCATGAAACAACGTCATGGCTTATCGCTCGACTGAGCGCCCGTCGCTGGCTGCGCTGGGACCGCGCGCTGACGCATAGGACAACCGACCAGGCGCCCATCGATGGGGCCGGTTAACGACGCAGCTTCCACTGTCGGCTTTTGGCATCAACTCGCGCGGGCCGCCCTCGCAAGGCACGCGCGAGGCATGGCTCGCAACGGGCTCGACGCGGGACAGCGGCTCACTCGCCTTCGTTGCTTCGTGCCGCCTTCGATGCGCAACGGCGCTCGCGGGGCGCGACGACGCGCGACGGCGCGCTCCCGCCGGCAGAGCGCGGGCCAGAAACGTCTCCGGTGCGAAGAACTCAGCCGCGCGTAAGCGCGGCGTCACGAAGTTCGCCCCAAGAACACGTAGCAACTCGTACTCCTCCCGCGACGGAAGGTCGGCGATGTTCTCTGCTGATGGGACCCGCGCAAACCACGGCGAACACCGGGTGCGTGCGATGAGGAACCACATGGCGTGAATGATGCGGGAGTGGTCCCAAGCGGAAGCGCGACCGCTCCGCACTGCCCCTTCTGCGCCCACATTGTCGGACCAAATCACCACTCGGCGGTCCGCCAGCAGTTCACTAAAGGTAGCTAATCCCAGCGCTATAGCGAGCAGTTCTAACGCCATAATCTGAGAGTCCCGGCGCGGCGCCAAGTCCTCCAGCAGCTCCTGGTCTGGAGGGGCGTCGGACCAGAAGGCGCGACCATCGACGAACAGCACGGCGGCGAGCCGTGGATCGGACCCGCCCCTTGCGTCAGCGAACAAGTGCACTTCTTGCCGTTCCAGCTGCGCCCACGGCTTGGACTGATGGATGCCGAGGGCCAGCACCTCCGCCCACCATGACAGCGCCAAGTTGAGCGGGGCGCGAACGACACCCCGTCGCGCATTCTGCTGCGCGAACAGGGGCTGCAACATCGCACGCCCTAGCCGCTCGAAGCAATGTTGACCTGCCCAGCTGAGAGCGCCGGCCAGCTTGCTGGCTTGGCCGGCACATAGTGTCCCGCAGTCGAGCGCTTGCTTGATCAAGAAAAGCCACTTGCGCACCTTCTTGGGCGCGGGAAACAAGTTGATCCCGCTGAGAGAAAAGGACACATGCAGGCCCAAAATCTCCAGCTCGTCGCCACATTCCAGCTTCTTATCGGAAACCGCTCCTGGACCTAGGAGCAGGCGCACTAGTCTGGCCAGCGATGCCATGGTATGCTCTTTAGTTGCGGGTGCGCACGGCCCAAAGAAATCGTCCACGTATCGGAGGGTGGGAATCTTTAAGAGCTTGCGGGCGAGGTGCGCCAAGGCAGCTCCGACTCGGTCCCACCCAAAGACGGCAGCCAGGGCGCCGAACATCAACGCCAGGTGACCAGTGACCCAAATGTCTCCGTCGTGCAAATACGTGCTGTAAGCTGCCCACCTGTGGCAAGGCCGACATCGACACCGCAAACGCCGGGTTCCTCTGGAACCCCGACACGAGCCCCCAGGTCGATGCTTTTAACGGGGGGGGGCACCCGGAAATCCCGAGCCTGTGTTCAGGAGCGATAGGCACACGCCGGTAAGCGGAGTCGATGTCAGCCTTAAACAGTGCCGGTGCGTGCCCGCGCAGACCGTGATAGCAGCGCAGGGCGTCCACCAAAACGTCAGCCCCGTCCAGCAACAACCTCTCGGCGGGCTGGCACGCCGAGTTGATGCCCCCTCTCGATTCATCGTCTACTACGCGAACCTTGGGCGCGCCATCCGGCTTGACGCCCTGCACAATGGAGAAACGCGGGGACAGACGCACCCTGCCCAAGTCCGCCTTGGCCAGCACAACCGGAGCGGTCATCCGCGACAGAGACGCATCGGCGAGCGCGCCCTCGTGGATCGCAGACGAGTTCACGTCCTCTCGCAAGGAAGACAAAATGGCTCTATTGTGCACGGGGGAGGAGGTCCGCAACTCCTCGGACGACGTGGGCTCCGGGAATTTCTTTGCGGGCCCTCTGCCCGCATGGGGCAGCTTTCCGAGCAAAGGCGCGCCGTAGCGGAACAGATCAGCCGCGGCCGTGTCATCGTAGCTCGTCATGTCGAGCAGAGCAGCTAAAAGCGGCCCATTCACGTCGGCGGACACGGCGCGCGTCGCGTCGTCAGCGCCGGCGAACCATTGCTCGACGGCCCCGTCACGTCGTAACGCTTGTCCCCACGCTTCCAGGCGTGATAGCATATTGTCGCGCAGACGCATAACCTCTACGCTGTCTCTGGACGCTTCCCACTCTATGGCGCAGCGAACGTCTTCCTCAATCCCGCGCGATGGCGCGATGTGAAATCCGTCCTTCATTGCACAGTTGATAAATTCTATCTTCTGCACGTCGCCAGCGTCAAGCTCTCCTACAACGCGACAGATTTTTAACGCGCGCGCGCGGGAGCAAAGACGGATACGCGATGGGGCCTTTCGACAAATGGGCTTGCACCCCGCCCACCGCGGGAGCGCCCGCGCCGGCAACTTCTTCCAGTGAAACAACCGGTGTAGGCTGCGCCCCGCGCGTCCACACCGAATTGGTAGCCTGCGCAAGCGCGACGCCACCGCGCGCGACATACATGTAGGTGCGCCGCGCTTCCAGCCTCCTGTCCGCGGCACGCTTCACATGTCACCGCTGGACTCTCAGCTGCGCCTGCGCGCCGTCCGGCTACCGCCGTCGCGCGCGCGCGCACCGACCCGCGCCTGCGCGGCGCAGGAACGTTGATCAGCGCTCGTGATGCCTGGCTCTCTTGGCCCGCGGCTCCCCGTACTCGCCGCGGTCGTTCGGCGCCGCCGGGGGCGCAGGCGGGAACTTGCCCTTGCCGCCGCCCTTGGCGCCCTTGCCGCCGCCCTTGCCGGGTTTTCCGCCGCCCTTGGCACCCTTGCCCCCGCGGGGGGCTGAGCGCTCCTGACTTTCGCGATCGTACGCGGCCTCTGCCTCGCCCAAGAGAGTCACATCGATCGTTGCCACGACAGTTTCGATGTCGAGGGAATCATCACCGGCGCGAGACCTCTCTGCCCAAGTGCGCCGGCAAATCTCATCGTATACGAGCCCCAGCGCGCCACTCCGATTAGCATTAGGCGCCTGCGCGGCCACCTGCCGCGCCGCGCGCGCATCGCACTCGCGCCGCTGGATCCGCAGAGCAACGGCGATAGGCGGGCCTTCATGACGTTCTGGCGGTGGCGAATCGTCGCAGCCAGCGTCGTCTGCTCCGTGCAGACGCAAGCGATGGCGTACCTACGCGCTCGGACGACGCCGTTGCTCTTGGGTGCGCGCCCCGCGCGCAGACGCGTGCACCTGTCGAAGGCGGCATGCCACTGCGTGAAAGTGAGCGACTTCGCTTTGACTGGGTTCGCTACGCCGAGCGCGCGCGAAAGGTCGCGAAGATCCCGAGACATGGGCGGGCCCTCATCAGCCTCCTCTTTCGCGCTCTTCGATTCTGCCCAGGACGGCAAGAACTTCTTCAGGTCAGCGAACACAAATGGCCGCTTGATGCCGCGACGCTGCAGCCGCCTCACGTCCGTCTCGAGGGCGTCGACCGCCGCGGACCGCGGCCAAAACGCCTGGCCCACATCCTTCAGAGCGCCTCCTTGCAACTTCGCCTGAATGTCCACGTGGCACATCGGCTCAGGTGCTGACCCGCTCCCGGCCGCGCTGCCTGCGCTGGCCGGATCAGCCGCGCGCTGTTCCTCCGCTGTCAGAGACTTCGCGGCAGCCATCACTCTGGCTAAGAAGGAGCGCTTACCCGCGGACGGGTTGCCCTGCAGTGCGCCGGGATCTGCAAACGCAAGATCACGCACTGACTCCAACTCATTGTCCTGCGCGCGAGGCACTGGCGCGTCGTGGCGGCATTCGCAGCCGCTCGCGGCGCCTGGCATAGGGCTGCGCACTGCCGAAGCCACTCGGCGCCGCGGCTTGTATCATCATGGGCCGCAAGAAAATCAGCCAGGCTCATGGAAAGCGTGGGCGTTGCAGCGCACATCGCTGGTGCGGCCGCGGCGCGCCCAACGGCGTATGCGGCTCGCGTCTTCTGCCTGCGCGCACTGCTGGCTCCGTCGCGTAACAACGATCATTGCGCGCGTCTCCTGACGAATGTCAACATGCTGGGCGGCGGAAACCGGTCGCATTGACGCGGTAATATTGGCGTGGTCGCACTGACACGGTCGCGCTGACACGGTCGCAATGACGCATTCGCTTTTACACATTCGCATTGATACGGTCGCGGCGAGACGGACGCGTTGACATGGTCGCAACGGCACGGTCCCCTTGACACGCCCCACAAGACACGGACGCAGTGACGCGGAGAAATTGGCACGGTCGCAACGACACGGCGTAATTGACGCGTTGCGTTGACGCAGTCGAAAAGACGCGGTCGCATTGACACGGCCTTACAGACGCTGTCGCATTGACGCGATCTTACTGGCGCGGTCGCGTCGACACGGCCCAGGCACGGTCGCATTGACACGGCCGCATCGACACGGTCACATTGACGCGGTCATACTGGCACGGTCGCATTGACACGGCCATAGCACGGTCGCATTGACGCGGCTTTATCGACACGGTCGCACTGACACGGTCGTATTGGCACGGTCGCATTGACACGGCCCAGGCACGGTCACATTGACACGGCCTTATTGACCCGGTCTCACTGACACGGTCGTATTGGCACGGTCGCATTGACACGGCCAAAGCACGGTCGCATTGACACGGCTTTATCGACACGGTCGCACTGACACGGTCGTATTGGCACGGTCGCATTGACACGGCCCAGGCACGGTCACATTGACACGGCCTCATTGACACGGTCATACTGACACGGTCATACGGAAACAAAAGCCGCCACGGCGGCCCGCGACGCGCGCACCGAGGGCGCCAGCCTCGCGTTCGGCCGACAAGCGCCCTCGGGGCAGCGCGCGCGACGCGGGGGTATATTTACCCTCCCCCCACCGCAGGGAGACGTGGACAAAGAACACGAACAAGACGAGGAACACGAAGTCCATGAAGACCTGAGGCGAGCCACCCCAAACGCACCCCCCAACCGACCCAACCCGCCCCACCACAGGCACCGCGGCGAACCGCGGCGCCAGCGGCGGGGCGGCAGGGGTAGAAGGTTCCCAGGTCCGCGTTTTTGTGACAACGAACAAAACTGCGTTGTGTTCTCGCCAACAACAACAACAAATCTTGTCCCAAACCGACAGCGGCCGCTGTTGGGCAGGCCGCCTTTTGCCTTCAGTGAGCAACGTCCGCGGCGGCGCGGGCAACGAGCCCTGTCCAAAATGCGCAGGAACTGCTGTTAGGTATCGTACCCCATTTTTCCGTAGCGTCTGCGGCAACTCATGGAAGGCTCCCATACCATCTTGTTGGCTCTTGCGAATCGACGCTAGTCGACGATACATCGACGTTCATCGACGCTAAATCGACGCTCGTCGACGCTAGCCGACGCTGCATCGGCGCTGTCTCAGCGATTCCAGACGCTAATCGACGCTGGTCGACGCTAAAGACGGACTTGGGAGGGTACACCGAGCTTCCATGATTTGCCACCGAACGTGCCCATGCCGATCTCGAGGACCTGCTGACCCGGGTCAATCCAGACCTGGGTCAGTCAGGACTTGCAGAACCCTGCAAGATCCTGCAAGATCCTGCACCCAAACCCGGGTCAATGCGAAGGACCCTGCAAGATCCTGCACGCAAGCCCGGGTCAGTGCGACCCTGGCCCTGCAGGATCCTGCGAGATCCGGCGCTCTGGCTGACCCCCGTTTGCATTGATTGACCCCCGTCTCAAGGCTCCCGACGATCGTCCCGAAAGGTCCCTCAGGCGAAAGGTCACCCTTTCGTCTGGTCGACGGAGGGTGCGGGCGCATGGGAAGGGGGGCCGGGCGCCGACCCACGAGGAGGCCGTGAGTCGCAGAGGGCGCGTGTGCGCCACCAGCACGCCTGGCCAGGGCCCACCCTCTATTGTGGACGCCCGAGATGGATCCCTCTTCCTCCTCCGCCTCCTCCTTCTCATCCTCCTCCTCCTCCTCCTTCTCCTCCTCCATCTCCTCCTCCTCCTCCTCTTCCTCCTCCTCCTGGTCCTCCTCCTCCTCCTCCTCCATCGCCATCCTCACCCCTCCTCCATCATCATCCTCCCCCCTCCTCTTCCTCCTCCTCCTCCTTCTCCTCCTCGTCCTCCTTCTCCTCCTCTCCTCCTCTTTTCTCTTCCACTCCCACGTGTTCCCCTAAGAAGTTCCACAACGGCTGGCGGAGCACAAAGACATGTAGCGTGTCCAGAGGTCGACTACAGTGGAGGCCAGTCCACAAGAAACCTTCCACAAGAAACCCAACCCTGAGACCCCAGGACGTCCCTTGATGTTTGGCGTGGGAGCGTCACGCCTTCCACAGCAAGACCATCGAAACCTAAGAAACCCAGGGCACCCCGGAGGCAAGCAGGGTATTTCATGGCATGGCCCCCCCCAGCGTACAGAACACACTTGTACAGTGCCCAACAACACATGTTGTCCCAAACCGACGGCGGCTGCTGTTGGGCAGGCGATTTCCTGTCTTCAGTGAGCAACGTCCGCGGCGGCGCGGACTGCGAGTCTGGTTCAAAACGAACAGGAACTGCTGTTGGGCATCGTACCCCATCTTTCCGTAACTACCCATGTGGATCGTCCCGATCCCTTGGCACTGGCGCGATGCATACGCCGCCCTGGCCAGAGGCCAGGAGCGTCTTAACGCTGTCCCACGGCCCAGCGTGGCCCTGGTGAGGCAGTGCTCTTTGCAGAATCGAGGTTAATATATACATAGATGTCTGTGTGTCTGTGTGTCTGTGTGTCTGTGTGTCTGTGTGTCTGTGTGTCTGTCTGTCTGTCTGTCTGTCTGTCTGTCTGTCTGTCTGTCTGTCTGTCTGTCTGTCTGTCTGTCTGTCTGTCTGTCTGTCTGTCTGTCTGTCTGTCTGTCTCTGTCTATATATATATACACATGTTCGTCCCGGATCACCAGGCCAGGCATGTTTTGGGGCGCTTTCCGACCAGAGTTTCGAGAGGAAGCCCGCCGTGGCGCCGAGGACGCCCCAGAATACCCCAAAACGATGGGAGAATGTCGAATCATGGCGAGTTTCGATCTCAGAGCCGTGCCTGGTGCGGATGGGATCGCGTCGCCCATCTGCGCGGCCTCCCGAAGTAGGACGGAGATGGGGAGGATGAACGGGCAAGGGACAGAGGGGGGACAAATGACGGATGAAGAAGCAGGAAGGAGGGAGGGAAGGGGGAGGGTAAAGGAGGAGGGAAATGGAGGGGAATGGGGGGTATGTGCGCGGGGGGGTGGATGGGGAGCTGGGTGGAAGGGTGGGGGGGGGGGAACGGCGTCCTGACCAACACCAACGCACCTTTTTGCCATACAGCCGAACCCGGAGGGAGCAGGAAGGAAGACAGGGAGGATAACGGTGAGGATGTTGATGGCGATGAGGAGGCTGAGGAAGAGGAGGAGGAGGAGGAGAAGGAGGAGGAGGAGAAGGAGGAAGACGAGGAGGAGGAGGAGGAGGAGGAGAAGGAGGAGAAGCAGGAGGAGCAGGAACAGGAGCAGGAGCAGGAGGAACAGGAGGGGGAGGAGGATGAGGAAATGGAGGGAAATGAAGAGGATGACGATGACGATGGCGATGGTTGCGGTGATGGCGATGGTGGCGGTGATGGCGATGATTATGATGGTGATGGCGACGCTGAGGACGATGATGATACTGAGGCGGCGGCGGCGGATCGATATTGGGTCGAAGGTTGAAACTACGCAGCAACTCTTCTGTTCGTGGCCTCCAGGGGGTTCGTGCAAACTTACGTCGTCGCCATCAGGCCTATGTGCTTGCTCGCTATCGCCCTCGTCCGACTTGGTCTCCTTCGATCCAGGGCGACCCCGAGGTCCACATGCTGCCTCGCCTCCTCAATCATTCGCCGCGGAGATCTTGCGGGCTGCCTCGAAGCCTCTGTACACGATATTCGCCTGTTTCTCCATCCAAATGATCTGCTTGCCCCTGGGGTCGCTCAGCTCCGTGCCGATGGGGAAATCCGCCGACCCTGTCGGCGTGTGGAAGAGGCTTCTCCGTCTGTTCCCTCCTCGGCGAAATTGAGCAACGTCGTAATTGAGTCGAAGGGAAGCCCCTTCCCTTTGATCCCTTCCCCGCCGGGGGGGGGGGGGCCGCGGTGGGGGTCCCGGGTTTTGACGCCGCCCCCCGGGGTAGGTCCTGGGGGGGTCCCCCCGGTCTCCGTTTGACAGTGGCCCCCACTGTCAAATGGCCGCCAGGTCTCCGTTTGACAGTGGGCCCCACTGTCAAATGGCCCCCGGGTCTCCGTTTGACAGTGGGCCCAACTGTCAAATGGCCCCCAGGTCTCCGTTTGACAGTGGCCCCCACTGTCAAATGGCCGCCAGGTCTCCGTTTGACAGTGGGCCCAACTGTCAAATGGCCCCTGGGTCTCCGTTTGGCAGTGGGTCCCACTGTCAAATGGCCCCCGGGGCTCCGTTTGACAGTGGGCCCCACTGTCAAATGGCCCCCGGGTCTCCGTTTGACAGAGGGTCCCAATGTCAAATGGCCCCCGGGTCTCCGTTTGACAGTGGCCCCCACTGTCAAATGGCCGCCAGGTCTCCGTTTGACAGTGGGCCCCACTGTCAAATGGCCCCCGGGTCTCCGTTTGAGAGTGGGCCCCACTGTCAAATGGCACCCGGGTCTCCGTTTGACAGTGGCCCCCACTGTCAAATGGCCCCCAGGTCTCCGTTTGACAGTGGGTCCCACTGTCAAATGGCCCCCAGGTCTCCGTTTGACAGTGGGCCCCACTGTCAAATGGCCCCTGGCTCTCAGTTTGACAGTGGCCCCCAATGTCAAATGGTTCCCAGGCCCCCGTTTGACAGTGGGTCCCGCTGTGCAAGGGCTTCACATGCTCGACCGATCCAAAAGGCTCAATATAAGAACGGGTTGCCACCGCGCCACCAGGAACAACCCCGCCCAGCTCGCGCACTCCTTGTCGCCGTGTCCCAGCCACTGACCTTGGTCTTCCATTGTCCGCGGCCGCCTCTACTCGCCCCCATCCTCCTATGACACAAGCGACCCCCTGCTGCACCCTGCGGCAGCTGCTGTGACTCGCCGCGGCACCTCCGCGCCCTTCTGACTGGGACCGAGCGTCTTCTGGCGAGATTGCGATGAGCTTCATCTCCCCCAAGAGCGCTCGTCGTCGTCGTCGTCGTCGTCGTCGTCGTCGCCATTCAGGGTCGGCGGCACCGGCCGTCAGGCCTTCGCAATACATTGAAATTCACGCGCCCCGCTACTCCATGATTTCTCCCTACTTGTTCCAGGCGAGCCTGCCCGCCTGTCTTGTCCATAAGCATGCTGAAGGATATCGTCTGGAGCTGCGTTCTCCACCGTCAGCATCGATGCGATATTCGTCGCCGCGTCGTGGCATACGTGGCTCACCTTGGCGAAACTGTCATTGATGAAGACCGTCTTGAAATGTGGTGGCCTGGCCCCGCAGCCGTTCTTCTTGTTGCTGTTAGTGAGTCAGCTTCGAAGCCTACTGCCTCCGACGTCTCGTGCACCTCCTGTAGCTGGGGGCCCGCCAGCCAGTTGTCCGCGCCGCTCGTTCGTGCCCGCGCGAGCCGACATGCCAGCGTCCGTCGCCCGCTTGGTTCGGAAAAGAGGGGGGGGGCGCTCGAGGCCGCGTGGCGTTCGCAGCCATGTTTGCAGCCTGGACTTCTCACTTGCTGGAGCCTCTGGGGACTCGGGGGGTCTCTGCTGGCCCCATCTGCAGTTCTGTCCTCCCTGCGTCGTTCGCCCTGGAGGTTCCCACATTCTGGGCGGCAGGGGGGGCGAGGCTGGCGGAGCCGGCGGGCCCGAGTGCAATTGAACTAGCCTGCGCCGTCCTCGAGCCAGCGGCCATCACCGCCCCTGCCCTCGCTTCTTCGTGGCCGACGCGCGCAGATGTCTCTCCGCTGCTATGTCTGGCTCTGCGCACAGCCCCGCTCCTCTTGTATTCTTCGCCGCAATCTTTGCCATGGTGGTTTTCTGTGCTTAGCGTAGGTGGTCTGCTCTGAACCTGTCTAGTTTCTCTACCTCTCGGCTCTGCAGCCAGCGCGACTCTGAATTTGGTGCAAGGTCGACTGCAGTAGTGATGTGCTGCATGCTCTCCGTCGTGTCTGCGCCCTTCCCGAACCACCTTATTCTCCTGATGCGCCTCCAGCACCTTGCGCGCGGGGGCGCCGCATGCAATGGTCGCCAGAATATTCTTGCCGGTGCTGAACAGCACTATTCAGACTGAAAATGCATCTCCTGGCCAATCCAAATCTTGTTTCAGGCCTTCTCTCTATGCGAGTTTCACTGCGTGCTCAATCAGACATTCTACTTGCGATGTGACTATTCGTGAGCGCGGGGGTCCGGAACTGTGCCCCTTGCCTGCCTCCCTGACCTTCGCACCGTGCAACTTGCCGTCTTCTAATGCTCTTCGGAACGCTTCCAACTTCGCCTCAATCAGCCAAACGTTCGCGTTCTCGCGCATGGGGCCCCTGATCTCGCTTGCGCTTCTGAAGGCCAACATTTGCTGGCTGTTTATTGCTGCGGTGATGTCTGGGCGCACTCGTGGCGGTCGTTGCCGCCGTTCCCCTCGTCTTATGTTTCCATCTCCCCAGCTGCCCGCCGCCGTCGGCGAAGAAGCCCCTCCCCCTGGTTCGCCTCCGCGCCCCCAGCTCACCCCCCCCTCGCCCATCGCGGCCTCCCGGAGCCCGCGGTCGGCAGCTTTTCCGCTTCCTCTCAGAGCCCCCCCCTCCGCGCCCGCCCCGTTCGCCCTCGGCGCGCGCAGCTCCTGCCGGCCCTGGGCGGCGCGAGCGGGCGCGGCGCTGGCCGCGGCAAAGATCGCGGACCTCGAGTTTACAGACTGCGCGCGCGTCGGTGTCGAGCGCTCTTGTATAGAGGAAAAAGAACTATGCACATACACCGATTCTGGCCAGGCCCATCATGAGCCCAGGATCGGTGCATACGCCCTCCTACCTTGGCCAGGAAGGCATATGCACCGATCCTGGGTCAAGGATGGGCCTTGCCAGGATCGGTGCATGTGCATAGTTCCCTTTGAGGTAAATCTAGATAAATCTGGGTAAATCCAGGTAAATCCAGAGATCTCCAGGGCAAGTTCGAGCACTTCGCGGCCGCTCCAGCGCGAGTCGAAGGACGGCAGAAGTCGTTAAGCCTTTAACGAGCCAGCACCCGTGCTCCTCGTGGCTCCGTCCGTCAGCCTCCGCGGGCCTGCGGGCGCGGCCCGCCGTGGATTCTCTCTCGTCGCAGGGCGTGCGGAGGCACCGAGGGGACTTGTCCGCAATGTTTTTCTGGCGCAAGCGGTTCCAGAGTTTTTCAAGAAGGAGCCCAGACTTTTTCAAAAAAACAGTTTTGAGGTGTGGAATGCGCCCGCCGCGCAGGACATCTGAAGAATTCTGAAATCCGGAATTTTTCAAAATCTATTTCGGAATTTTTCAAAATCGAACCCCGCCTGGGCCGCGTGCGCAGGCGCGTGCGCATCTCCCCCCCCTGGGCCGCCGGGGCCGTCGCCTTCTCCAGCTGTCCCCTTCGCGCCATCATTGCTTGAATTGTTCCTCTGCCTCCTTTTCGCCGGGTTCTTCCCCGTTCTGGGAGGGCCGCCGCGCTCTCTAGGATTCCTAAGGCTGCCTCGGCCCAGCTGCCCCATACTCTGCTTCCTTAGGACAACATCGCAAGGTCCGAATTACGGTCCTTGAACCAAGCGCCGCGCCCCGCGCTCCCTGCCCAGGTTGGGTTCTCCCAAAACTGCTGCCGGCGCTTCTCTGTAGTCCGTTGGTCGGGGCGCCCATGGTCGATTCCACCGTAGTCGTCTGATTCTGAGGGTAACTGCCGGCCCATCACATGCACACTCCGACCCTGAATACGTGTTCTTTACTGCGACATCTCCTCTCTCCATCTTCTGGCGCGCCGCTCAGCTTCCCTCTGGCAACCTTTCTGAAAAGCCCCCCCCCCCATCACTCTGCCCGATGCATCCGCGCATCTGCTGCGCAGCGCGGCAGACGCCGGGAGGGCCTCGACCCTGGAGACTCGCGACCTTCGCGCTCGGACCCCCTGCGAGCCTGGGGGGGCCCCCCTCGCGCGTGCCGGCGGGCCGAGGCTCCGCGTCGCTTGCGGGATAAGGAGCCATTGGGACTTTCCCAGCCCCCCGCCTGAACTTCGGCCCGGGTGATGGAATGACTTCGGCGCCCCCGCAGCGCCCCGGCGACCTGGGAGAAATCCTTGGGGGCGAGATAAGAAGGGTGGTGGGGGGTGGGGGGCGGGGGCCCTGCGACCCCGGGGCGCCCCTCGAAAGGGCGCACCCCCGCCTCAAGACAAGCCTGCAGCAGGGCCTGAGGATACTCATCTTCGGATCCAATGTGAGCCGCGCCCGCCCGCAATGCCTTCCGAGTCGCTCCAACAGTCTGGAGGCGGCCTGGGCGCAGCTGCGCCAGAGCGCGCAATCTATGACTATCCCCTTGCAGCCTGAAGCAACAAAGTGGGCGCTGCTCTGGGCCGCCCCAAAGCCTGGCTCCTTACGCAGTGCTCGTTGGCTTTACTGTTGCCGCGAATAAGCAAAGCATCGTTGTCGCTCCGAGCATCCTTTTCCGGCTTGTGACCTTTCACCTTGGAGACCGTTGCTGGCTTGCCGATGTCTGACCACCACTCACTCAATCCAATGGCGTCTGCGAAGATTGGCCGGGTCTAGCGCCGCCTCGGAATAGCGACCGCCCTCCGCTCGAGGGAAGGAGGAGGGAGCACGGGGGGGAGGAGGAGCAGGAGGAGAAGGCAGAAGAGGGAACTGGTAGGGAGCAGGGAGTCAGGACAGGATCTGGCTGACCCCAAAAAAGGGGTCCAATGAAAAGGGGGTGGTGCAATAAACGTGGTGCAATAGATTTGCGGGGCTGCAGTAGACTTGGGATGTCCAATGCATTCTTGTGCGCAGGTCTATTGCCGGATTGTCGCGTGCAACACATCAGTTGCAGCACCATGCAATGCAACTCTCTGGCGCCACACCTTTGTAATACATTTGCCCCAGCATGTATTGCACCACCCCTTTCAGCTGGACCCCCTTTTCGGTCACGATTGGCGGCGAGCGAGGGGGGGAAGTGAGAAAGAGAAGGCCTTCTCAGAAGGCTCGGACGCCCCACGGCCTTCTGAAAAGTTTTCAGAGCCCTTCCCTCGAGACACAGAAAGCTTCTCAGAAAGCGCGAGGGCTTCGGAGAAGTCCGACCGCCTTCTGAGAAGGCCTCCTCTTTCTCATCTCTCCCCCTCGCTGGCCGCTGGGAGGAGAGGAGGGAGCTGGAGGCGGAGCTCGGCCGCGAACGCGCCGTCCATCTGCGAGGCCTCCCGCGACAGCTGCGCGACGGCCGCCCTCGCCGCGGTGGAGCGCTGGTCCTGTTGGCCTGCGGCTGGCCGCGGCTGCCCGCGGGGGTCGCGGCTGGCCGCGGCCGCGGCGCCGCCGCCTGGGGCGGCCGAGAGGCCGCACCCCGCAGGGGCTCGAGGCTCGAGGGGTCGCGGCCTCGAGGCCCGAGGATCGAACGAGGCTCGGCGGCTCGGGCAGGGATCGAGCCTCGGGGCTCGAGGCTCGAGGGGTCGCGGGGCTCGAGGAGAGATCGAGGGCCAGAGAAGGTCGGGAATCGAGGCTCGAAGGCTGGGGCAGGGATCGAGGCTCGAGGCTCGAGGCTCGAGAGGTCGAAGGCTCGAGGCTGGAGAAAGATCGAGGTTCTCCAGGTTTCCTGACGCTTTCGCAGGGTCCGACGGGTTTTCCAACCTCGGGATGCTTCCCAACAGCTGCGCCTCGCCCGAAGGCGCTCCGGTGCGCCCGGAACGTGCCGAACGACCGCGCAACCCCGAGCTGTGGTACGGAAGCCGAACCTCCACGCGTCTTGCACACACCACACACACACGCACACACACACACACACACGCGCGCACACAGAACACAGACCACAGAACACATAACACAGAACACACACAACACACACACATCACACACAGGCAGACAGACAGACAGACAGACAGACACACAGACAGTCAGACAGACAGACAGACAGGCAGGCACACACTTACACACTCACACGCTCACACACACAGACACACACACACAGACACACACACAGACACACACAGGCACACACATACACACACAGACACAAACACAATCACAAGCACGATCACAAGCACAAGCACACACAGAACACACATACACACCCTTTCTATATATATATATATACACATATATATACACAAACATATATGTACGTAGCACCCCGCAGATGCGGATAAGAGTGAGGGGACGGTGTGGACGTCGGCAGTCTGCGAGACTCTGGAGAAGCCCGCCGCAGGCGCCAACTTTTTGACAAATTATGGAACGAGCCCGCCGCAAGCGCCGATGTTTTCTTCAAACCAATGTGGATCGGTCGTGGGTGGGTCGCGGGTGGGTCGCGGGTGGGTCACGGGTGGGTCGCGGGGTGGGTCGCGGGTGGGTCGCACGTGTGTCGCGGGTGGGTCGCACGTGTGTCGCGGGTGGGTCGCAAGTGGCTCGCCTGTGGGTCGAAGGGTGGGTCGCACGTGTGTCGCGGGTGGGTCGCAAGTGGCTCGCCTGTGGGTCGAAGGGTGGGTCGCGGGTGGGTCGCGGGGTGGGTCGCGGGTGGGTCGCGGGCTGGGTCGCGGGTGGGTCGCGGGCTGGGTCGCGGGTGGGTCGTGGGTGGGTCGCGGGCTGGGTCGCGGGGTGGATCGCGGGGTGGGTCGCGGGGTGGGTCGCGGGGTGGGTCGCGGGCTGGGTCGCGGGGGGTACGACGACAACCACCACCAAGAACAACAACAACGACGACAACAACAACAATCATTTTACACTCATGCGCGATGTTTACACACGGAACATGCGACCATCATCATAACCACCCCCATCATGGGGGATTCTTCTTCTAAGCGGGGCCAGTTTTTCCCATTCCCAGATCTCCCGCCCAATGAGGTCTTGCAAACACCTCCCCCGAAGAATTTCAACATCTCCCGCTCTAAATCGCATGCCCGCGCCTTGCTGCGCCGATGCGAGACCGCCAGTCGAGCCCCAGCCAAGGGTAAAGCACACGGACGTATCGAGCGACAGTATTGCTTTGGTGGAGATTGGGGCTGTCGGCGGCGAGGCAAGGACCTGGCCCTGAATAGAAAGGGAAGAAGTCTCGAGCAGGGCCGCGGATGTTGCTGGGAGCGGCGCAAATGCTGAATAGGGCGGTAGCCCAACGTACAACAAAACGAAGTCTCAAGCGGGAACATTGGTTTTGTCGGGACGGGGGCTGTCGGCGGCGAGAAAGAGCACCGTCCTGAGGAAAAAAGAAGACGCCTCGAGCGGGAGCGTTGTTCTTGCTGGGAGCGGCGCCAATTCAAAAGAGAGGGGAAGTCTCGGGCGGGAGCGCTGGTTTCGGGACGGCGGTTTTCGGCGGCGAGGAGGGGCACCGCCTTGAATAAAAAAGGGAGGAAGTCTCGAGCGGGAGCGTTGTTGTTGCTGGGGGCGGCGCCGATGAGAGAAAGAGTAGTGCGGCAATCCGAAGTAAAACTGGAGGATGTCTCGAGCGGTAATGCTGGTTTTGTTGGGACGGCGGCTTTTGGCGGTGAGCAAAAGCACCAGATTCGAGTGAAAAACAAAGACATATGGAGCGGGAGCGTTGTTGTTGTTGTTGCTGCTGCTGCTGTTGTTGTTGTTGTGGTTGTTGTTGTTGGGGGGCCCGTTGTGGCACCAACCCAGACCGCTCGATCGTGAGCCTCATTTTCAACGACAGCGCCAAAGCGCATGGGTGGGGTCCAACAATAATAATTGTTCAATACTTAACACTCAACAGCAACAACATCAAGAGCGCAACAAGCAGAATCCTCACCACGGGTTCACACTTCAGCCACGCACCCAGGGACCATGAACGACCGTTTGGCCCCCTTCACTCTGATGTAGCGTTTTCCAGGCCTGTGGATTATTATGATCGTGTTTCAAAGACCCAGTGGATGGCCAGCGGATGGCCTCACAACAGGGGTCCATGAGAAAACGCTGCAAGCACATTCTGCTAGACACAATCGTAATTGGAATGCTTTGGAAGGCTCTTCAGAGGGACTCGGAGGGGAAACTTTACATGGGGAATCCTCTGGACAAGAATAGGAAAGACTGTTTCGGAAGGCTTCGCAACAGAGATCCGATGGACAGCACAAAACACGGTTGTTTTGGAGCGCCAGCAACAGGAACCATTCGGAACTCACCCAACATGGTTTCTATGGCCTCGCAGCAGGAATCCGCTCGGAACCATTACAATCAAGGATTATATTTGAAAGCGTTGTAAACGAAACCGTGTAGAAAGCATTGCTGAAGGTTTCTGTTGGGACGCATCACAGGAGGAAGCTTTTGGACAACACCACATTCGATTGGACAACCTCGGGTTTGGAACACTGTGCGAAATGCTACACAGGAATTCCCGTGTATGTCCTCACGACAAAGATCATGGGGAAAGCGCTGTCTAGCAACGCGCATTTTGATTGACACGAACATTGGTGGGATCCTTTTGGGAAGCGCCACAAAAGGATCTGGGGACAAGCAATTGGAACCCTTTGGCAAATATTTTAACAAGTTTTGCCGGGCGGCATTGCAATAGAGATCCTTTGGACAGCGTAACAACATGGATCATATCAGAGCGCCAAGCAAAACTAATCCTTTGGAAACGCCGCACAAGGATTGTTTTGAGAAACCTCACACGAGGAATCCTCTGGAAAGCAGCAGGAAGGGCTCCTACTGGAAAGCGCCACAAGGGGGCATCCTCTGGAAAACGCAACGGCGGGCCCCTTTTGGCAAGTGCCACAAAGGGGATCCTTTGGAAAACACCACACAGGGAATCTCATTGAAATGGAAAGCGCTACTAAGAGGCTCCGATTGGGAAACTGCACAACAAAGCCACCGGACAGCACAACAGCATGGGAAAGCCTCACGCCAAAAACTTTGGTTTATAGCACAACTGAAGCCTTCTGATGGGGAACCAAACAACAAACATATCCATCGAAAGGTACAACGGAGGGATGCCAACAGGAAGCCTCACAACATGCTTCCTTTGGGCAGCCCCGCGGAGGGATTCCACTGGAAAGCCCCACGACAGGACTCCTTTGGAAAGCACCGCGCAGAAATTCGACCGAAAAGCCTCGCAACGAGAGTCCTTCGGGAAACTCCACAGCGGGATTGCACGGGAAATCCTCCATGGAAATCTTTCGGAAGGCGCCGAAAGGGATCCGATGGGAAAGCATCAAACAGGAATCCTTCGGTAAGCACCACATGGAGATTCTATTCGGAACCAGCACAAAAGGTATCCTTTGGAACACACCACAAAGAGATTCTAGCGCAAAGCCTCACAATCGGAATCCATTGGAAAACACCATGCGCAGATTATGTTGGAAAGCCTCAGAACAGGATTCCCTTGGAAGGCACCACAACGGCATTATATTGGAGACCGTCAGTGGGAATCCTTTGGAAAGCCCCACGAGGGGGGCCCATGGGAAAGCCTCACACAAGAAAACCTGTTTGAAAGCTCCACTGAAGGTTCCTATTGGGAAACCGCGCAACAAAATCCATCGGAAAGCATCACAGCGGGATTCAATTGGGAAGCCTCACGACAACAATGTTTCAATCTCTTGGATCGCGCCGCAGAGGGAGTCGATCAGAAAACCTCACGGCAGGACTCTTCTGTAAAGCACCACGCAGAGATTCGATGGGGAAACCTCGCAACAAGGATCCTCTGGAAAACACTTCAACGGATTCTACGGGAAATCCTCACAGTGGGAATCCTTTGGAACGCGCCGCGAAGGGGTTCTATTGTAAAGCGTCACAACAATAATCCTTTGGAAAGTGCAGAGAACAACAAGTAGCAGGAGGAGGAGGAGGAGGAAGAAAAGAGGAGGAGGAGGAGAAGAAGAAAGAGGAGGGAGGGTAGGACGAGGGGCTGGAGGAGGAGAAAGAGAAAGAGGGGGGGACGCCTCCCACCCAAAAAGGGGGGTGGGCGACGCCATTTTTTTTGTTTGGGTGGGGTGGTGGTGCACCAAACAAAAAAACAGTGCTTCTTCTGGGAGGTGAAGGAGGACGACGAGGAGTTGTGCGAGGATGAGGAGGAGGAAGAGGAGGAGAGAGGAGGAGAAAGAGGAGGTTGGAGCGTCTGGGGAGAGGAGGAGAAAGAGGAGGACGAGCACAAAGAGAAGGAGGAAGAGGAGGAAGGATACGATAACCTTAAGGAAACCGTGCGAAAACACCATCCGAAAAGCAAGGTCCGCCACAATCCCCCGTTCTCGAGGAGGAGGAGGAAGAGGAGGAAGAGGAGGAGGTCACGGGAGGAGGAGAAGGAAGAGGAGGAGGAGGGGGAGGAGGAGGAGGAGGAGGAGAAGGAGGAGAAGGAGAAGGAGGAGGCGGAGGCGGAGGAGGCGGCGGGCCTGGCGGCCAGCCCCCGGACCGCGTCCGGAGGAAGCTGCCTGGGTAGCCCGGCATGCCGCTCGGGGACGGCGGCCACGGCCTCTCCTCGTCGCTCTCGTCCACCTGTCGAGTAGGGGATCGACTGCAGAGTTGGTTTACCCCAGAATTGATTTGTTCGTCGAGTCCACAAAATGTGCAGAATGCTCGTAGATCTACGAACATGATACGCACTGCTGGTAGATTCGACGACAAAACACCCCATTTGGGGGTTGCTGAATTCTGCTGGCGATGCCCAGCATACACCATGAATTCTGGCATTGGCTCTTGCGCGGTATACGCTGCGGCCCCTGATGGGCCTCAGCGCAACATGGAGGTCCGTAGGTGGGGTGTTGTCGCTTGTTTTTTTGCTCCGGGGAAACAAACATCGGGAGCGTCCAAGAGGGGGGTGTCCAAGAGGTGGTTGTGCACATCATGACCGGCGGCATGTGCCCGGCCCAGCGGGGGGGCCAGGGACGTAATGAAATAAGAAGAGGCGCCATGAAATCTGGGGAGATCTCATGGCCCCCGCCATGATATCCACCCCCCCTAAGTCATCACCCCCCTCTTTTCCGCCCCCGATAAGAAATACCGATGCCGCTGCTCCCCGGACCTCTCCTGGAGTGCGTTCTGGCCAACAAACTTTAGGGCGAACCCGGGGGGGCGACGAGGGCCTCCCAGGAGGCACACCAAAAGGGGAAAACGGGCAGATGGGGGAGAGGGATGGGCACCCTTTTCGGGGGTGGACAGGACACCATTGAGTAGACGTGGTTTAGTGAAAACGACCTCGGGCGGGCGCAAGCCTGGAAAATGAAGGCCGCAGCGCCCTCTCGGAAAACCGGACATGGACAATTCACGAATCGACGTGTCCGGGGGGGCTTCTGTCCACCCCCGACTCCTCCTCCTCTGCGGGTCGACATGTATTCTGACTACCTACCAGACCACCCCAACCCAACCCGAAGACCCGAATTTCGGGTTGGGGGGGGTAAGGGTTCTACATGTGTTTTTTCTATGTTTCCCGACCCCCCCCCCACTGGAAATCGAGGGTAAATCTGAGCCTTCGGGTTGGGTTGGGGTGGTTTGGTGGGTGGTGGTATTCTGCCCTTCCACCTCCACCTCCGCCAGCGGAGCCTCCGCGTTCACCTCCACCTCCGGAGCCTCGTCCGGCGGGGGCGGCGAAGCGGCCCCCGGGCCGCCCTGCGCGCCGCTCCCCGCCTCCTGGATTGGGAAAAAGGGGGGCTGTCCTGCTGCTGCTGCTGCTGCTGCTGCTCCTCCTCCTCCTCCTCCTCCTCCTCTTCCTCCTCCTCCTCCTCTCCTTCTGAGCAGGAGGAGGGGGGAGGAGGGGGGAGGACGAAGAGGAGGGGGGGGAGGAGGGGAGAAAAGGGGGAGGGAGGGAGGGAGGGGAGGGAGGGGGAGGGGGAGAGGGAGGAGGATGAGGGGGACGGGGAGGGTGAGAGCCTGATTTTTGCATCGCCAGCCATGGCCAGCAGACCGTGAGAGCTGGCGACAGGGCGCGGGAGGATGAGGAGGAGGAGGGGGAAGGGGGAGGGAGGACGAGGAGGGGAAGAGGTGGACAAAGGGGGGGGGGGAGGAGGACCTTCTCTCCCCTCCCCTCCTTTCCCTCTACTTCTCCTTCTCCCCCCCCCGCGTTTTTTTTGGCACGTGTCGATTCGCCAGTCTCGAAAACAGGACGGCCGTCCAGAGTTCAAGCCCTACCATGCTTGATCGGTTGGGCGGCAATCTTACCCTGGACAATTGGGAGTATCGGTTCTCGACGTCGTCTTGTTCTGCAGGGGCAGGCAGCAGGCAGTCCAATCGAGTCAACGCTCGGCCGGACAAGACTGTGTAAACCCGAAGCGTCACTGTTAGAGGCTAAGAGGCTAAATGAAGCGTCGGGGAAATCAATGATCAGACTCGCTTGATGCCAATTGGTTCAAAGTAAGCGCCCTGAAACTTGCGCAGGAACGCATCCCAGCCTACAGCGGGTCGTACACGCGATGGTCCACTTCCAAGAAATGGTGTAGGTGCCGACCCGATATTCTTGCAGGTCAGCCGTCTGGTATAGTGCCGACTCGACGAGCCAGCCTGTATTGCTGTCGTGGCAGCTGGATCACCAATCTTCCATTGGGCACGTAGCGAGAGCAGCGTTGACTTCCAGCTTCATCCTGCGCACCTCGTCATCGGGGCGAGCCCCGTCCGCAATTTCCCGAAGTGCCCCGCGCTGTGCAACATCGGATGAGCTCATACGTGTTCGTGCCATCGCAAAAAAGGAGATGCCAAGCCATGTATCTGGAGTGGTAACTGCGTTGAAGCAATACCCAGGAGTATCTGCCGAGATGCCGAGATGCTTCACCACTAGAAATGTCATGATGCCTGTGGATTCTCATCCAGGCAAGTCGAATCCAATGACAAACTTCAGATGAGATTCTCGAACGCAAAGTGCCGCACGACTTCCTCCCCACAAGTTGGTGGACCATACCACCGTTAAGGACGCCCAGGGGACCCCCTCCAGTACCCAGCGGATCCGCATCGATGTCGCACATCGTCGCTGCTCGCACCCTGATCTTTCCTGGCGCCCAAGCCGAGACCCACATTCTCAAGCTCCTCTCTGAGCGCCGTGGCCATCACGGTGAGATCCCTGTGCTGTTGCGAACAACCATGATGCCGTCCGCGCTTCTGAAATCTGTAAGGGCCAGACACGTGAGGAAAGCTACGGCGTCCGGCGCCCTCTGCCACAAGAGGACCCCCGAGACCGCCAACAGACGCCCAAGACACTCCCAAGAGGCCCAGGAGAGGCCCCCAAGAGGCCCAATAGAGGCCCCCAGAGGGTCCCAAAGAGGGCCTTAAAGGCCTGACTCGTGGACTTCATCCCGCTTCTGGGGGTCGGCGGAATGGCGAGAGGTCGGGGCACTTGATATGGAACCGGTGGAGGAATCCAGGGTCTGGAAGCCAGTGGAGCTCCAACCGTGGAGCGGCCATGGATACAGTAGGAGCTCGACCACAAGAAGCCTTCCACAAGAAACCCAACCCTTGGACCCCAGGACGTGCATTGATTTGTAGTATGGGAACGTCACGCTCTCCATTGCGAAAGCATCGACAATCAAGAAACCCCGGGCACCCTCGAGGCAAGCAGGGTGTTCCTTGGCATGGGTTTCCACTGTAGGACCGCCGACTTCATCAGATAAATCAAGGGCTCCCAACTTCGCGCTTCGCGCTGCGCGAAGCGTGAAGCGCGAATAACTTCGCGCTCTCGCGCCGCCCTCCCAAAAAGAAAATAGGAGGACGAGGAGGAGGGGGAGAAGGAACGAGGACCGCGAAGCGCGAATAACTTCGCGCCCTCGAGGGCGCCCTTGATAAATAGTCCCCCAGGGTCTGCAGCCTCGTGGGCACCTTTTTTCGCGAACGCCCCCGCCGTATTCTGGCGCGAATTGGGCGCTGCCTGGTGACGGGGGGCGGTCAACGGGTGGCGAAGAGACGTGCACCCATCGTGCCCCGTTTGGGCCTGGCGGGGTCCCGTCAGGGCCCCGACATGTACACAGAATGTGCAGACGTCTTGA